TTTGAGATCGACAAGTTTCTAAATTAAAGTTAAAGCCATACTCTATAAGATCTTGGAGATTATTTTAATATTATTTTATTTTAAAGCGATATTTATCCTTTTCGAATTTTTTATTTTCAGAGACTGTGCGTATGCGCAAGTTTTTTAACTATCATCACCAAGGCACCAAGGACCAAAGTAGGAGTTAACAAATTTTTGTAAATATCTGTTACAGTATTAAAGACTTGAAGAGACATTTTTTGTCAGCGATCCTTTTCAGAAAGGAGACTTGTCTACATCACATTGCCAACAAATCTCGGCGATTTCTTCAATGTTTACACCTATATAACTGGTGCCTACAAAAGTATAAAATAAAAATCAATAGTTTAAGGATACTGACAGCTTCTATCCATGTGGCTCTTCCTGGGAATAAGTTTAGACCTTAAAATTTGCATAATTAGCATGATTTTGTGTACAATTTTGAATATTTTTTTGGATTCCCCACTCTCTGAGAAAATTTACTACCCACCGCTCTTCGAAAAGTTTTTGGGGGCAGATACACTAACACAAAAAATTATCTCTGGCCGATGATCACCGCCTCCCTAAGAAAGTTTTCTGTGGGCAGCAGTGTTTCTGACGTTTAATTTCTAATATGGAATAATATCGATAAATGGCGGAACGTGAGATATGTGAGCAAAGGCTCCTTTTGGTTAATTTAAGGTGGTAGCTGCGTTTGGTCACAATTTATAGACATGTCTGGAATTTTTGCATACTCAGACTATTATGTTACTGTATTGACGCATGCTTCTATGAAGTTTGGACGCAATTTACCGTACATTTCTTGAGTTCTTGAGTCATCTACGAGTACATAACAATGGTTTCCTTGAAGCTCGAGATATCTCGGTTTTATGAATATTTAGTAGCATCATCAATAATATGAATTGATCTAGAATCCTATCTTGTACATTCGTAAGTTTGGAACATATTGCTAAAGTAACTTCAGAACGAATGCACCAATTTTGTTTTTTATTGTATTAAAAACTGGCTAAAAGCCGCTAAGTTGCTAATAGTGGACCGAAACTTCGTGAAACCGTGTTGATAAATAGAAATGCAATTTTTTGCAGACTGGTAGATACGATCATATAAAATCATGTCAAGAAGCTTATCAAAATTGTTCAAAATGGATATTCCCCTGTAGTTAGTGATGATATTGGAAGCTTGACTTTTGAATATAAGGCATATTTTAGCAATTTTAGCTTGTCAGGAAAAACGGAAGTATTCAGGATCAAATTAAACAATACTGTAAGTGGCCTTGCTAGTACTGCTATGCAGTCTTTAAGAAAGAAAGATGGAATTTGATCTGGCCCAGAAGTGAACTTGTTTTTTAATTTTCGTCCGACTTTTAGAATTTCGCGCTCAGATATCGCTACGCAAGTAATATCCAAAAGATCGCATCCTTGAAAGTCAAAACTAAGTTGTTCATCAATAATATCAGGTACCGAGTAAACACTCTCAAAAAACTTAGCGAAAGCGTTACTGATATGTTTAGGATCATTTAACATTTCATTTCCATCAGACATTTGTCCAGAAATCCTAGAAGTATTATTTTTTTAATGCATGAGCGCCCAAAATGATTTCGGTTTATGTTTTAACTGATTTTGAATTTGACCGGACCTTATGCTTCCTGATTGATTGTATAAAAGTGGATGCTAGGAAAGAAATAAACAATATGGAGGATTTAAGGCCAGGCTATCTAGATAACTAGCAACAAATACACCAATTTGAAATTGGGAAAAATTGAATTTCAAGCAGACATTACTGTTTTGTTACTAAACTAAATCGTGTAATATTCCGCCTAGGGCCGTAACAGTTGTATAATAATAAATAAGGTCGGCTACAGGTGGTACGCAAGTGAGGTAGCCGCTTTAGGACGCAGTGTCATGGCGGAGGGCAAAAAAAATCTCAATCAACGGCGAATCCAGACGGTCATGGCGCCATGAGCCTCCAGTAGGCTTCAGTCATCAGAAAGGCATAAGCTTTCAGAAGCACTGATGTAGTCGATTTCCATTCGCCGATAGCCCCCGCTCCCCCTTCGTGATGATGAATCTCGTCACAGCCACCCCTTTCTGAATATCATCATAAATGCACAACTATGGCTAATGACACCCTGACTCAATGGCTGGATCCGCACGGGTATTATGTAAAAAAACATAAAAAACGTAAAAAACGCGACACAATGTCATTGCAGACTAGTTAATTTTTAGGGTGCAAATAGGTCATTCCACGTTTGCTGGCTATGATCGCTGTGAGCGTCCATCTACTGTGGAATGGCTCAACTACACGCATTGTTGGTTGCAGGAAGTAAGTATATGTTTTGTGAAGCCGAGTAGTCGGTAGTTCTTATTTCTGAGAAGATTTGAAAGAAAGTTGGTCTGCATGTGTATAAAAAGAGTGAAATTTGCCATGTAAAAAAATATTAATGAATATGCTGCCAATAAAGTATATCTATTAGCTGTGCCCGTCGGGTTATTTATATGTTGTCCTTTCTGAAGACAGGTTATGTTCTAAATTACGATTTTCCCGTTTTCTTTTTCGTGTTTTAAAAACATTTGAGGGGCATTACGGGAAATCTCCAGCGCGCTCGCGTAGTGTGCAATTAAACCACATCACAGAAAAATTAGGAATGATGAATCGCACATAAAACATTTTCGCAGTGCCTCACATCTAGGCGCTGATTTTTATTTTCTACTGACATCGCAAAATAAATTTCTATAAAATTTAAATGACTGGAAATAAAAAATAATGTAACAATCTTTTCACTTTCATAAATATTCCTGCCTGTAGCATATTTTCTCTCACCTCTTATGTTAGAAAAAAAACCGACCTAATGTCACTTTTCAATATACGCAATACCCGAACCACACTTGTTCTTAATTAATGTACAGTGGACCTCCGGTAATCCGACAAACATTATGCAGGGCAGTGTCGGACTATCGAATTTGTCGGATTATAGAGCACTGTCTAAGACCCCCTATAGTCCGGAATTTTTTACACAAGAGTACCTTGTAATCCGACAAATTACATATCCAATGGTAAGATTATATATGTCATGTATATGTATTTACTTTGATGTACAAATCGTACATAGTTCATGTATGTCGAATTTAGTAAGTTAAATAACAATAGAGAGCTTATGCACATACATATGAACCAAAATAATCAAGAATTATTAATCAAAATCATTAATGAATTTATCAAATTATGAAGCTTGGAAATATTCATCAATTTTTTTGTTTAAGGTTGTTATAACGCGAGATCAGAGCTTTGTCCCTCAGTCTTCTCAAAAGTAAAAGTTCGTTGTAGGATGTACCATTCTCTTCAGCCCGTTGTAAACCTGGCGCAAAGGCGTTAATTGCGTCTTGTGCTGTGACTTGTGGAGCAGTTGCAATCACGTCGTCGTTATTTTCCTGATTGTTTGTTGTATAAGTAGAAACCTCTTTTATAATCTCTTCGTCAGACATTCCATGAAAAACATTTTCCTCTGTTCCACGGCACCAGATTTCCAAATCTTCCGGACTTATCCCTGTTTCAGTAGCGACTTGTTCTATAACTTCCGAAGTAACACTGACTTGTGGAACGTTGCTAGGAGTGGTGACTATATCTGGCTATAACTTTTTCCAAGTCGATTTAATAGTTGATGACGGTAACGCATTCCACGACTGACAAAGAGCAAAAACCAAGTCCTTCATATTAAATTCTTTTAAAGTTTTTTCTATTGGATGGTCTTTTGATATGGCTCTCAGAAGTAGACTTTTCTTATAGTCTTGCTTGACAAACTGAATGATATTCTGGTCCATTGGTTGAATCAGTGCAGTACAATTTGGCGGAAGAAACATTGTAGTGATGCATTTATCCTCAGTTGTTAGTTCTTCTTCAGACGGATGACCGGGAGAGTTATCAAGAAGCAACAATGCTTTTTGAGGAAAATTATGATCTTTTAACCATTTTCTAACTTCAGGTGTGAAGCACATGGTAGTATGGTTATACGCTCTTTACTTACTTTTCGTCCAGGTACGGATTTTTCGTTACAAGAAACGAAAGTTTTGTTAGGCATCACACGTCAAAAAAGCCCTGATTCGTCTGCATTGTACACCTGTGACGGGTCAAGATTTAAATCGTTCGCCTTTTGGAAAAATCTTAATTTAAAGGGCTCTATGCAGGTGGCATCGTTAGAAAGTTGTTGGCCTCAAAATCATCTTTTTTTGTTATTTCCTTATAAAAAAGCTTAGCTTTCATGGCCATCATGGGTCCTGAAATTGGTGCATGCCTATTTCTTTCCTGAAGAAACCACATGTACAAAACTTCTTCCACTTCTGGATGTTCAGCTTTCTTGAGTGTCTGTCTCTTGCCTGGCCCGCAGTCAGTAGTTGACAAGAACTTCTTGATCGTCTCGTGGTTTCTTTTAATGTCATAAATTGTAGACCGGCCTACGCCGTATTCATTGCGATTTAAGCGGTCTAAAATATCACATTTTTCTTTAATTGTCAATGTTTTGTGCTTTCGCTTCTGAGTTTGTGATGACATTACTAGGTACTATACTAATACACAATGAATAAATAGTAAACAATGAACGCACGCTAGGCCGTACCGCTATCAACAGTAGTCAAATTCAAACTAAGTAAAACAATGCTTAGGCGTCGAGAACGATAGCGGTTGCGCGTACAAGTTGCAACCTGTTTAAACCTGCGTGATCTACATTAGCGAAGATTGTCAAATACGTATGTATGTAATACATATTCAAAGACATGTCGGATTACAGGGGGCGCCACTGTATGTTAAATCCTTTGCCTCAGGGCGCACAAAACTTTGAATCTGGGTCTGGTGATAACTTACACTTTTTGATAATAGTTTCTATTTTCACAAAGTTATAGAAACCCCACTTTTTGTGGGTATTCTATGCTTTAAGAGAACAAGGGCTATCCTCAGAACAAATAACTATTTAAGCTTTAGACCCCTATGCGGAATATTACAAGATTTAGTTTAGTAATAAAAGAGATATGTCTTCTTGAAGGTGAATTGTTAGTACATTCAACATGGTTGCTACGTTGCCAGCTATCTAGGCAGACTGGTCTTGAGATACGCTTGATATGACTATTGAGTAATATGAATATTCTTTCCAGGCATCCAGCCAGAGAGCCTTCGACGAATGGGTGAAGACCATCGCGATAGAGCTGATAAGGCAAACGCCCCTGGACGCGATCAAATACCTGGACATCTTGACCATTGCAGAATGCTGGAAGAGGAGAGACGATCTTCAAGAAAAAGACTGGAACTACAACGACTGCCCGTCGGATAAGACGAAAGCGAATGGCAACGAGGATGCGATGGAAGAATGCGTCACCTGTCAAAGTGAGAGCGCAAAACAAGGCGCAGAGGAGATTTTCAGGAGGGAACCGCTTGTGATTAGAAATCGAGAGGTAAGGTTGTGGTTGTACGTGTATGCATTCATTCATTCCGCCTCAACTTCTGAAGTATGGGGAACAAATTATATTGATGATTCTCTGGACCTTGGTATGATCTGACAACTTTGGATGAGCGTCGAGTTTTAAAGCTTCGAGCCGAACTGAATTTTCAAAAATAACAAAAATTACATCTGCTTCATGATTTACAAAAAATTTTGGAAATGACTTCCTTCGGTACAATGCGCGGTTCAATTATTCGCCGCCGAACTTTGCAATTACACCAGGATCTGTATCTTGTGAACTACTGATATACAGGGTGTTCCTTAATGATATGCGAATATTTAAGTTTGTGAATCTACATAAAAAATTAATGTTAGTTTGCTTTATAAACTATGGTCCAAAAATATTTCCTTACAGTTGGTGGTAAAGAAACATAGTTTATAAGCAAACTAACATTAATTTTTTATGTAGATTTACACCCTTAAATATTCGCATATCATTAAGGAGCATCCTGTATGTAGGAATTTTGGTAAGAGAGACATATCAACCAAAAAGTATTGGATACGAGTATTCATGAAAATTCTGAGCAGTTTGAAAAATTACTTTTTTATCCTTTCCGCCCCAAATATTCATGTAACTTGTTTCAGTCACTGTGTCTGTCCGGTGACTCAGAATGCCAAGAATTTTAATCAAATTTAAAGAATCCTAGATTTTGGGCGGGCAAATCGATTCCGAGGCCGTGAAGGTATGACCAAAAAGCAGGAGGTTTCAGATTATTCCCGTATGTATGTTTTACTACAAGCTTTTTATCTTTTCAATCAGAATTTGGTATTGAAAAATTGTCAAACTTTATTTTTCGGGCGATTTTAAATTATACCAAATGACATAGAAAGTGCAACACCGACTACGAGTGCTGTGATTTTGAGCATACTTTTACAAGTTTGAAGTCTACTAATAAATAGACAGTGATTAAAATTTCATATTCATTAAGACCTCCTGGCATTGATTGGATTAGGGGATTGATGTCTTTTTGGTGTCCATTTCAGGCCATCTGAATTTGGTTTCGTAGAGCCTCCAATGTTTGTAGAGGGTGCGGTGAATTTTGCAACTTTCTTCCCTTCATGTCCCACACATGTTCGATGGGGAAAAGGTCTGGGGATCGAGGGGGCCACTTAAGCAGATTTACACCGGACGCTTCTAAAAAGTCTAAACTAACACGTGCGACATGACGTGGTGCATTGTCCTGCTGAAAAGGTGGATCTTGCAATGTTTCCAAAAAGGGAAACAGATGTGGTTGCAAAACTTCGTGGATATATCGCTGGGAAACCATGCTACCTCGAATGACCACCAATCGGGACCTGCTGCCATAAGCAGTGGCGCCCCATACCACAACACCCACAGTGCGATGAATATGCCGTTCGATGGAATATTGGACGTCTTTCACCACTTTTTCTCCTTACTCTTGCACGGCCATCTTGGGTTCCCAAACAGAATCTGGACTCATCGCTGAACACGACTGAATTCCATTCCATATTCCATTCGAGTATCTCCCTACTCCATACCAATCATTGCCGACGATGCTGTGGGGGTCAGAGGTAGTTCAAGATGGGGACGGTATCAAAACAGTCCAAAAGACCTTATTTGGCGATAAACTGTCCTCTCAAACTCGGAAAGTGCGACTGCCAACTCTAGGCATGATAGTGCAATGAAACAACAATGAAACAATTGGAACCAACACAGAAAAACCAATGAATATTAGGTAAACATGTTCATATTGTTCGGATCCTGATATGACAAAAAAGCCTTTACAAAAAAGTACGCATACTGTCACGTGACGTCCGTTCAACCTCAAACACTCTTGGCCAGTCTCTCAGGTTTCACGTCTCTGTCGGTGTTGATTGTGTGGTTATACTGCTTTGTTTGCCGCCATGACAATCAGAAAATCCGGAGAATATGAAATCCGCTCAGTAACTTTGTTTTTAAACGCAAAACAGTGCCTCCTTCTGAAATTCACCAGCAGCTTGTTGGCGGTGCCTGCTGTCTAGCGGCGTCGTTCTGCTTCACGGCAACGCTCGGCCTCACCTTGCGGCAAGAACGCAGACGCAACTGGACAAGTTCCTTTGGGAATTACTGGATCATCCTCGCCAAGCCTTGACACAGCACCATCGGTATATATTATCGTTTTACAAATTTGAGGAATTTCTTGGTAGAAAGCGCGTAGAAAATGACATGGTAAATGAAATAGTTGCCAATTGATTTCTTTGACGACAAAATCCAAAAGCTGGTGCAACGGCATAACAAATATTTAAATTGTTATTGTGACTATGTTCAAAAATAACAAAAAGTGCTCATATTTCAATTTGTGATATTTCAATTTATGAATTTACATTCATAAAAATCGCCATTACACAACGGTTCTTACTTGAAAAATGAATCCCGTAGATTTCAGGAGAATCACTGAGTCGTTTTTTTTCTTTCCAGGAGCGGATCCCAGCAATGCCTCCAGTGAGGACCCCAGAGAAAGTGTCTGAAGTCCCGGAAGACATAGAAGAGAAGCAAGTGGAAGACCTCATGAAGAAATGCCAAAACGCGGAGAACTACGTTCCGGTTAAAGAAAAACTCTTCCTATTCGAATCGCTATGCAAACTTGGAAGGAAAGTCCGAAGTACTGAAGATGTGTCTCTGAAAATAGACACGAGTTCGAAACGAGCCAGGTCCCTACATGATCTGTCGAACATTAATTCGCATATTGCTGTTAGGGAAATTTGTAAATATTTCGAGAATAAGAACGAAACGCAAGAAAACACATCAGAGAACCAAGTGGTGTCGAAATTTAAGCTGAAACGAACCTTAGAGTGTAATAATGTGTATCATAGGTTTCCCAGAGCAATTTCATAGTATACGTGGGTTGTGTGAAAAATACTGGCATCTTCAAGCAACGTAAAGACATGAACATTTAACTCAAACTTCGGGGCCTAAAAAACTCCGTGGTGATCCAGTTTCGCTGTCAAATAGGCAGCTTTACTCAATATTATACTTCTCATGTGTTAGGTGTCAGTATTTTTGTTTGGAATGTTCTCTTGCCAAAATTACTTAATTTAAAGAACAGTGGATATGACCAATCAAAATGGCTGAAATGTAGTAAGTTATATGCCATAATATTTTGATCAAATATCTTAACGAGCCCGAAGCTTCAAATAATGTCCCTTTTTTCCAACTACCTGTTTGCAACAGTATTCTAAATCCTTTTCATCTGATTACTTCATGATGTGTATAGAGTTGACTAAAAAACATCGTTTTTTTTTTGTCATAAAATGCGTTTTTGTGGATTTTTTCTTCGATCGTAACTTTTTAACAAATATTAACACAGCCCTGAAATTGCATGTGTATATTCCACTTCTATGGATGAATGAAACAAGTGACTGCTTTTATCATTATCACTTTTTCTCTTCGAAAAATCTTTGCTTTTCTTGAAAACTCGACTTGGTGCGGGACGAGGCTTCAAGAAAATCAAAGATTTTTCGAAAATGAAAAGTGATAAGAACAAAAGTAATCACTTGTTTCATTCTTCCATAAAAGAGGAATATTCACACACAATTTCAGAACGTTACTTATATTTGTTAACAAGTTCTGATTGAAAAAAGGATGCGCAATAAAATGCACAAAAAATGCACTTTTTGACAAAAAAAATGAAAACATTGTTTTTAAGTCATCTCTATACATACTATGAAATTATCACATGAAAAGGATTTAGAATACTGCTACAAACAGGTAGTTGGAAAAAAAATAAAAAAAAGGAAGTGCCACCTCAACATCTTTCCCGCCATTATGAACGGACTTTTTAATTTCTTATGGTTGGCGTTCTATAAAATTTCAAAAGAGTGGAGTGCGATTATCTTAACTTTTATATATTTTTTTTCGTGCGATTGTGTGATCTAATCTTAAGCATTGTGATAGTCATGTATATGCGAATTGTCTTTGGATTTTCTACCATTTAATCATTTGCTGCTGGTGTTAATGTTTAACAAATTCTGAAATCAATAATAATATGTGTAATTGTTTCTGTTGGAATGATGTTAACGAACTGTTGTTGTTTAATTACATTGTGCCTTCAAATTTTTAGTTGCTGCATTCTTCCATTAGCGTGTTGATTGGTTTGTGCTATACTTCTGTTTCTTTTGATAACCACTTCTAATTTGGCACCTGAATCTGCAAATGCTATTGCAGCAACAGAAACCCAATAATTTTTTGATCAATTATCAGAACAAAATTGCTTGTTATTTATTTTGTACATACATAGTTCATATATTTCATGTTACATAATTTTTAATAAACAGTATTTTATTTTTAAACTTGTTTTCCTTTTATACCCTACTACTAATCTTGAGATTATGTGTTTGTCTTGACATCGTTTTTTTATTCAGGATCGCAGAGACGGTAATTTGAATTTCCCGCCATTTTTACATCAAGATCGTATTACGCTTTTTATACCTCCTTGTGTTTCTGCTATCCTGATAGCAAACTTTACCGACGCAGTTTGGATTTGATATACCGTTTTCAGATATTAGAAATTATGTATCAGGATCGCAGAGATACCGTATTTATATCGGTACTCTGGATCTCCCGCCATTTTTATATCACGAGCTTATTACGTTTTCCATACCTCCTCGCATTTCTGATATCCTGATGACAAATTGTATACACACATATAAGAGAATTTGAGCAAAAATATGCCCTGATGTATGATTTTGAGGAACCAGAAATTTTGTATCAGGATCACAGAAACAGCGAGAGGTATTTATGTCGGTAATTTGAATTTCCCGCCATTTTTATATCAGGAGCCTATTAAGTTTTTCATACCTCCTCGCATTTCTGTTACCCTGATAGCAATTTTCATTTACCCAGCTGAGGGAATTCGAGAAGAAGGTTGGCCTGTTGTAAGATTTTGAGGAACAAGAAAGTTTGCACTGGGATCGCAGAAACAGCGAGAGGTATTTATGTCGCTAATTTGAATTTGCCGCCATTTTTATATCAGGAGCATATTACGTTTTCCATACCTCCTCGCATTTCTGATATCCTGATAACAAATTGTATACACACAGTCAAGAGAATTTGATAGAAATCTGCCCTGATGATTGAGGAACCACAAATTCTGAATCAGGATCGCAGAAACAGCGAGAGGTATTTATGTCGGTAATTTGAATTTCCCGCCATTTTTATATCAGGAGCATATTAAGTTTTTCATACCTCCTCGCATTTCTGTTACCCTGATAGCAATTTTCATTTACACAGCAGAGGGAATTCGAGACGGTTGGCCTGTTGTAGGATTTTGAGGAACAAGAAATTTTGTACCAGGATCGCAGAAACAGCGAGAAGTATTTATGTCGCTAATTTGAATTTACCGCCATTTTATATCAGGAGCTTATTACGTTTTCCATACCTCCTCGCATTTCTGATATCCTGATAGCAAATTTTATCCACACAGTCAAGAGAATTTGAGAAGAAACTTCCCTGATGATTGAGGAACCACAAATTCTGAATCAGGATCGCAGAAACAGCGAGAGGTATTTATGTCGGTAATTTGAATTTACCGCCATTTTTATATCAGGAGCATATTAAGTTTTTCATACCTCCTCGCATTTCTGTTGCCCTGATAGCGATTTTCATTTACACAGCTGAGGGAATTCGAGAAGAAGGGTGCCCTGATGTAGAATTTTGACGATTCTGAATCAGGATCGCAGAAACAGCGAGAGGTATTTATGTCCGTAATTTGAATTTCCCGCCATTTTTATATCAGGAGCATATTACGTTTTCCATACCTCCTCGCATTTCTGATATCCTGATAGCAAATTGCATCTACACGGTCAAGAGAATTTGAGAAGAAATCTGCCCTGATGATTGAGGAACCACAAATTCTTAATCAGGATCGCAGAGACAGCGAGAGGTATTTCCATTATATCTAGAGCATATTACGTTTTCCATACTTCCTCGCGTTTATGATATCCTGATAGCAAATTGTATCCGCACAGTTAAAAGCATCTGAGAAGAAATCTACCCTGATGTATGATTTTGAGGAACCAGAAATTTTGTATCAGGATCGCAGAAACAGCTAGAGGTATTTATGTCGGTAATTTGAATTTACCGCCATTTTATATCAGGAGCATATTAAGTTTTTCATACCTCCCCGCATTTCTGTTACCCTGATAGCAATTTTCATTTATACAGAAGAAGGTTGGCTTGTTGTAGGATTTTGAGGAACAAGAAACTTTGTACCAGAATCGCAGAAACAGCGAGAGGTATTTATGTCGGTAATTTGAATTTTCCGCCATTTTTATGTCAGGAGCATATTACGTTTTCCATACCTCCTCGCATTTCTGATATCCTGATAACAAATTGTATACACACATATAAGGGAATTTGAGCAAAAATCTGCCCTGATGTATGATTTTGAGGAACCAGAAATTTTGTATCAGGATCGCAGAAACAGCGAGAGGTATTTTTGTCGGTAATTTGAATTTTCCGCCATTTTTATATCAGGAGCATATTACGCTTTCCACACCTCCTCGCCTTTCTGATATCCTGATAGCAAATTTTATCCACACAGTCAAGACAATTTGAGAAGAAATCTGCCCTGATGATTGAGGAACCACAAATTCTGAATCAGGATCGCAGAGACAGCGAGAGGTATTTATGTCGGTAATTTGAATTTCCCGCCATTTTTATATCGGGGAGCATATTAAGTTTTTCATACCTCCTCGCATTTCTGTTACCCTGATAGCAATTTTCATTTACACAGCAGAGGGAATTCGAGAAGAAGGTTGGCTTGTTGTAGGATTTTGAGGAACAAGAAACTTTGTGTCAGGATCGCAGAAACAGCGAGAGGTATTTATGTCGGTAATTTGAATTTCCGGTCATTTTATATCAGGAGCATATTACGTTTTCCATGCCTCCTCGCATTTCTGATATCCTGATAGCAAATTTTATCCACACGGTCAAGAGAATTTGAGAAGAAACTTCCCTGATGATTGAGGAACCACAAATTCTGAATCAGGATCGCAGAAACAGCGAGAATTATTTATGTCGGTAATTTGAATTTACCGCCATTTTATATCAGGAGCATATTACGTTTTCCATACCTCCTCGCATTTCTGATATCCTGATAGCAAATTTTATCCACACAGCTGAGGGAATTCGAGAAGGTTGCCCTGATGTAGGATTTTGAGGAACTCGAAATTTTGTATCAGGGACGCAGAAACAGCGAGAGGTATTTATGTCGCTAATTTGAATTTACCGCCATTTTATATCAGGAGCATATTACGTTTTCCATGCCTCCTCGCATTTCTGATATCCTGATAGCAAATTTTATCCACACGGTCAAGAGAATTTGAGAAGAAACTTCCCTGATGATTGAGGAACCACAAATTCTGAATCAGGATCGCAGAGACAGCGAGAGGTATTTCCATTATATCTAGAGCATATTACGTTTTCCATACTTCCTCGCATTTATGATATCCTGATAGCAAATTGTATCCGCACAGTTAAAAGCATCTGAGAAGAAATCTACCCTGATGTATGATTTTGAGGAACCAGAAATTTTGTATCAGGATCGCAGAAACAGCGAGAGGTATTTATGTCGGTAATTTGAATTTCCCGCCATTTTTATATCAGGAGCATATTAAGTTTTTCATACCTCCTCGCATTTCTGTTACCCTGATAGCAATTTTCATTTACGCAGCAGAGGGAATTCGAGAAGAAGGTTGGCTTGTTGTAGGATTTTGAGGAACAAGAAACTATGTACCAGGATCGCAGAAACAGCGAGAGGTATTTATGTCGGTAATTTGAATTTTCCGCCATTTTTATGTCAGGAGCATATTACGTTTTCCATACCTCCTCGCATTTCTGATATCCTGATAACAAATTGTATACACACATATAAGGGAATTTGAGCAAAAATCTGCCCTGATGTATGATTTTGAGGAACCAGAAATTTTGTATCAGGATCGCAGAAACAGCGAGAGGTATTTATGTCAGTAATTTGAATTTACCGCCATTTTATATCAGGAGCATATTACGATTTCCATACCTCCTCGCATTTCTGATATCCTGATAGCAAATGTTATCCACACAGCTGAGGGAATTCGAGAAGGTTGCCTTGATGTAGGATTTTGAGGAACACGAAATTTTGTATCAGGGACGCAGAAACAGCGAGAGGTATTTATGTCGCTAATTTGAATTTACCGCCATTTTATATCAGGAGCATATTACGTTTTCCATACCTCCTCGCATTTCTGATATCCTGGTAGCAAATTTTATCCACACAGCTGAGGGAATTCGAGAAGGTTGCCCTGATGTAGGATTTTGAGGAACTCGAAATTTTGTATCAGGGACGCAGAAACAGCGAGAGGTATTTATGTCGCTAATTTGAATTTACCGCCATTTTATATCAGGAGCATATTACGTTTTCCATGCCTCCTCGCATTTCTGATATCCTGATAGCAAATTTTATCCACACGGTCAAGAGAAGTTGAGAAGAAACTTCCCTGATGATTGAGGAACCACAAATTCTGAATCAGGATCGCAGAAACAGCGAGAGTTATTTATGTCGGTAATTTGAATTTACCGCCATTTTATATCAGGAGCATATTACGTTTTCCATACCTCCTCGCATTTCTGATATCCTGATAGCAAATTTTATCCACACAGCTGAGGGAATTCGAGAATGTTGGCCTGATGTAGGATTTTGAGGAACACGAAATTTTGTATCAGGAACGCAGAAACAGCGAGAGGTATTTATGTCGCTAATTTGAATTTACCGCCATTTGATATCAGGAGCATATTACGTTTTCCATACCTCCTCGCATTTCTGATATCCTGATAGCAAATTTTATCCACACAGTCAAGAGAATTTGAGAAGAAACTTCCCTGATGATTGAGGAACCACAAATTCTGAATCAGGATCGCAGAAACAGCGAGAGGTATTTATGTCGGTAATTTGAATTTACCGGGATTTTTATATCAGGAGCATATTAAGTTTTTCATACCTCCTCGAATTTCTGTTGCCCTGATAGCGATTTTCAGTTACACAGCTGAGGGAATTCGAGAAGAAGGGTGTCCTGATGTAGAATTTTGAGGATCAGGAAATTCTGAATCAGAATCGCAGAAACAGCGAGAGGTATTTATGTCAGTAATTTGAATTTCCCGCCATTTTTATATCAGGAGCATATTACGTTTTCCATACCTCCTCGCATTTCTGATATCCTGATAGCAAATTTTATCCACACAGTCAAGACAATTTGAAAAGAAATCTGCCCTGATGATTGAGGAACCACAAATTCTGAATCAGGATCGCAGAGACAGCGGGAGGTATTTATGTCGGTAATTTGAATTTCCCGCCATTTTTATATCGGGAGCATATTAAGTTTTTCATACCTCCTCGCATTTCTGTTACCCTGATAGCAATTTTCATTTACACAGCTGAGGGAATTCGAGAAGGTTGGCATGTTGTATGATTTTGAGGAACCAGAAATTTTGTATCAGGATCGCAGAAACAGCGAGAGGTATTTATGTCGGTAATTTGAATTTCCCGTCATTTTATATCAGGAGCATATTACGTTTTCCATGCCTCCTTGCATTTCTGATATCCTGATAGCAAATTTTATCCACACGGTCAAGAGAATTTGAGAAGAAACTTCCCTGATGATTGAGGAACCACAAATTCTGAATCAGGATCGCAGAAACAGCGAGAGTTATTTATGTCGGTAATTTGAGTTTACCGCCATTTTATATCAGGAGCATATTACGCTTTCCATACCTCCTCGCATTTCTGATATCCTGATAGCAAATTTTATCCACACAGTCAAGACAATTTGAGAAGAAATCTGCCCTGATGATTGAGAAACCACAAATTCTGAATCAGGATCGCAGAAACAGCGAGAGGTATTTATCTCGGTAATTTGAATTTACCGGGATTTTTATATCAGGAGCATATTAAGTTTTTCATACCTCCTCGCATTTCTGTTGCACTGATAGCGATTTTCAGTTACACAGCTGAGGGAATTCGAGAAGAAGGGTGTCCTGATGTAGAATTTTGAGGATCAGGAAATCCTGAATCAGGATCGCAGAAACAGCGAGAGGTATTTATGGCAGTAATTTGAATTTACCGCCATTTTTATATCAGGAGCATATTAAGTTTTTCCTACCTCCTCGCATTTCTGATATCCTGATAGAAATTTTATCCACACAGCTGAGGGAATTCGATAAGGTTGCCCTGATGTAGGATTTTGAGGAACACGAAGTTTTGTATCAGGACCGCAGAAACAGCGAGAGGTCACACCTAAAAGGTGGGTTGGGATAAAAGACAACCAGTAAAACAAAAATAGCCTTTCAACAAATGTTTTATTCTCAAAGTATTACAAATAAAAGTTCTCAATCTATACAGATTGGCACAAAAATATTGGTCCTACATTTTTCCAAAACATTAACTATTTGTGTATAATTCCAGATTCAAAATTTACATATATTATTTGTAAAGCTACCTTGACCATATCATACAAAAATATAAACAAAATTTATCACTTTTCAACAATACAGCTTAATAGCTGTAGCAATAAATATCAAATATAAATAAAAACTCATACATACAATTTGTCACAGGTTCCACCTGTTATATTTCAAACAACCTACAGGGGTTCAGTTTCTCATTGAACGGTAATTTTCAGACATTCTACAACTATATAAGTATTTTTGTAAAGTGCAAACATTTTAATTTTGATTTCTAGTACAAGTTGGCCCAAGAGTCAAAGACAGCTTTTAAGACTATTTCCGAAAATCAATTTTTTGAGAATTTTGGCACCCAATTTCTTTTAACAAAAAGGGAAAACATTTACAAATAGCTTCTTTACATAATTTTAGATTAAGGATTACTTAGACCACCCTGTAACACCCCTGTAGTTTGGCCACAATGTCGAATATGTTCCTTTTTTTATACAAATCCAGTAGACTAGCATCCTGTCCTTATCTGAAAATACTGCTTAAAATGCTAATGACATGAAAACAATGTCTCAAATTACCGGCAAAAAGATAGCAGACACGCTTTAAACACTTAATTTTCAAAATCCATTCACTCTTCATAAAGATATTACCTAAAAATCATCAAAAATGATGAAAGACATCGCTAATGTCTCGGTGCATAATATCTGTACAATCTTTCTGACGCTATTAAAGCTGAAACAGATTATACAAACATGATTTATCAAAATTGTTACAGTCAAATATTGCAGCTTGTAAGATTTTTGGACATTGCTGCTCAAGAACGTAAAAATGTACTATTTAGAAAAATGTCATCACCTTACATCGCTCACTCATCAATTATTTTTCTCCAAACACGCTTGTATTGGCTTGAAAAGTATGTAGGTACCTGGATGTATTCATGACAATACAATATTGGGAAAAGATTTGATTAGAAAATTTAAAAAACTTGAATTTCGGAATTTGGAAAAATTTGGATTTGAAAATTGGGAAAAATGGAACATAATTTGAAGATTTGGAAATTCTGAAAAAACTTTAGAAGTAAATTTAGATTTATTGTAGATTTATTGATTATTTATAAAGTATACGAAAAATCTAAGCTCCTGAATATAAGTACTTTTGTTGTCGTTTTGAGACTAAAAATTAAGAAAGATTCTGGTTTGAAAAACCTTTAAAAATAAGTTATACTAGGAAATCGAACTCAAAAGTATAAAATAATTTTCAGTGCAGGATAACTTGTGTTACTGCATTAAGAAAGTCCAACAATCAAGTATGACTAATTAGTTTTAATAAGATCAATATAAAAATTACGATTTTCTCAAAAAATCAATTATAGTTATAAAAGCGTGGGGTACAATTAACTTTATTTTCATAATAAGCCAATTTTGTAAATAGCAACTAAAAAAGTAAGTCCAACCTTTAATATCACGCACCCGCACGCTTTTTTTACTAAAACTGATTTTTTGTTAATACCTCAATTTTTATATTGATGTTATTCCAAATTAATTCACACTTGATGGTTGGACTTTCTACGCAAAATATCCTATACTTGCAAATTATTTTGTTTTAATTATAATTTATTTTCATTTCATGTTGAAAGAACGACCAGACATTGTATGTTCGATCCCAACATTCCCATGTGAAAGATTAATTTTGACTACGGTTTTAGATTTTATGGAACAAATTACCATGGGGTTGACCTAAAATTGACATGCAGTAGACAATTTCTTAAGGCAAAGTCTTCAAAACTACATTATTTGACTGCAGCCTCCTCAAAATAACCACCAAGATAATCAATAAAGTTTATTACCTGGTACATCTATTTAGGTAGCCACTCATGCGATACATAGTAAAGAACAGAGGGATGATAGTGACATAGTGTCAGATTTTTTTGTCTTAACTATTGAATAATTGTGTGAATTTGTTCTCTAAATTTGAACCAATTTCATTACATCCCATAAGTTACATGAGCCGAGTATCCATAAGCTACACCAATGCTTAGTAAAAACGGGGAAAATGTGTTTTAAGATAATTCGGTTTAACCCTCCGCTCTTTATACACCTTCAAGAGTGGCTCCTTGTTAAAATTTTTGTCAAAAAGTACAAATCAACTCTTCCCATTTCTATCAACTGACCTATATAAAGACACAACCGACTATGTCGCACAACTGCTACTCTACCCTAGTCTTCACGCAGCATGCGTGACTTGTTCCTCCTGGTCCAGTACTTCCCTTTCGAAGGAGTCCAACGTGTCATCGTCCGACGTCGAGTGGGTCAAACTGCTCACTTGGGAATCGTCGTCCAAGTGCCTTTGGCGTTTCCTCACGTTCCAATGCAAGCACGTCGCTAGGGACTCGAACCAGTCTGTGATTTGGTCTTGTGCGCATATGCTGGGCACTGGGTAGATGGAGGTTGTTACACGCAGGCTAGAACATAATAACATAGTTGTTCAAACTCGTTTCATAAGAACAAAAAACACGGTACTATTCAACAATCAGACAAAATGCAGGTAACACAAATACGAGGGCATTTTTGGATTTTTTTCATAGGAAATCTGGAAAAACATAGGAATTTATAGGGCAAAATTTCCCATTTAAATTTCCTAGTGTCACAAGTGGATAAAACTTTCCACACCGAGGTAATTTGGGATGCTGAATGCGAATATGGTCATCAAAAAATTGGAAAGTGCCGTGAAGCTGGGTTTCAGGTAGACAATCGATGGTTTTGGAGCACACGTGGCTGCTATCGTCAAACTGACATCGGATTCAGAATCTACGCTACCGATTTACCTAAGAGACGAATATTCGTTCATATCACAAATACGAAGGCATTTTTGGATTTTTTTTTTTATAGGAAATCTGGAAAAACAGGAATTTATAGGGCAAAATTTCCCATTTCCGTTTCCTACTGTCACAAGTGGATGAAAATTTTCACACCAAGCGAATGAATATGAAAGATAAAGAAATCATAAATAATTTTGTGAGTAGCGAGCGTTTTGCAGACCGTGGGAAAAGCGGTATCCTGTCAGAGAAAACAATGGGCGTTTCTAGACCTCTTGCATGCAAAGCTCACGCTAAAACGTATATTTTTTATCATTTTTATTCTATCTACTTATAGAAATGAAAAAGTGTGGATGTTTGTTAGTCTACCACACCAAATAGCTGAACGGATCTGGATGAAAATTGGTACAAAGGTAGATAATAGTCTGGACTAGCACAGATGCTACTAATCTAACACCATCCAGAAATAAGTGCCCACAAGGAAATGCTTGATTGTTCGCTTTGAAAAATAAAACTTATATGAAGCCATAACGATCCCTACAGAGATCACGTTACTCGGCTGAACTAAATCGAGAATCGAAAATACGAATAGTTTTTTCGGTAAAAGAGAAGAAGAAAATAGGTCAGATTCGAAATTAGTGTCGGTTTACTTATTAGACATAATAGTCTGTTATGAGATTAACATACTTATGTACTCTGTGTCATACCACGGTTATATGTTATTCTGTCCCTATTCACCTTAAATACGAGCCGGTTGTATAGAATCATAGAGCATGTAACACCATGTTTTCCATCTTGATACCTATCACATTTTCTCTTTCTGTGATATGTGGTCTTACCAAAGCACTTAAGTCTTCGGTGAGAATTTAACTAAGATGAAATAGTTCTCTCAGGCTAGTCAAAAGGAGGTTTATGTGTCCTTAGATATTGTCGTTTTCTAAGAAACGTAATTCTGAATTCTATGTATATTTAATAGTCTTTCTCGTACAATTGAAAGCATTGTACTTTCAGCAAAAGTAACCAACTTTTTCCTAAACAAAATTACAAACAATACAGACAATCTATCAAACAGCAGGAAAACTGTATTCGATAGTTTGGCACCTGTCGAATAAATTTAATAGAGTCGAGTCGATAATTCGATTATCATGAACGTATTCTTAATCGATTGTCAACCAACCTGACTCGTTTCACTCGTGACCCTACTACCGGTTTTTAAGCATTCGTTGACTCGTTAATTCTTTAGTCACCCAACATTAAATATAAACTGACGCATTTTATAGTTATCAGCATCACCCGTATTGAACCGGTCTGCATTTCTCACATATAGACAAAATTTCCACGCAAACGTGGTCGTGGGCAACAGCTAGTGAACATATAAATAGCAGATTCAGATGAATATAATACAGGGTGGCCGATATGTAACTGACTGGTTTGTATCTTGAATATTTGTGAAATTAAATGAAATACGTCCATTTTTTTCATCTTAATGTGTTATTGAAACATAGGAATCATGTATGAAAAATAATCTCAGGCAAATGTCCGCCTCTAGAAGCCACGCAAATCTGAGCCCTCTTGATTACATTTTCCATCAGTTTTTGTAGGTTCCGTAATATTGTTCTTCAGCTGCTCTAGAGTATTTGGTTTGTTGGTATAAACCCTATTTTTCAAAAATTCCCATAAAAAGTCAGGAGCTGTTAAATCGGGTGACCTTGGTGGCAGGTGATATCACCAAATCGAGAAATTAAACGTCCCGGAAATATTGTTCGCAAAACATTCATTGTTTCCCTAGCTGTGTGACAAGTTGCTCCGTCCTGCTGTAACCACATGTTTTGCAGGTTAAATTGTTGGATTTGAGGAGCCACAAAGTTTTGTACCATATCACGCTTGCGCTCGCCAGGGACAGCAAGAGAATTACCTGCCAAAGACACCTCCATAGCAAACACCGCACCAAACTCTGACGCGACGAGGATGTAGTGGTCGTTGATGGATGACACGAGGGTTCTCTAATGCCCCGATACGACAATTCTGCTTACTAACAAATCCATTTATATTGAAGTGGGCTTCATCGCTCATTATCAGTTGTCAGTAAAAATCGTTATTTTGGGTATTAAGCAGCAATATTGCATGACTGTATTGTCGGCAACTTTCATGGTCACTACGCTGTAGTTCTTGGGTTAATTTAATTTTTTATGGCCGCAAATGCCATAAATAGTGCATAATGACTTGCGACGAATACCCAGTTCTTGAGAACGATGTCTGGTACACGTCTCAGGGCGCTCCACTACACTTTTACGAACTCTCTCGATAATTTCCCGAGTACGAACAATTCTAACACAGCCCGACCTTGACAAGTCTTTAACTGCATCTGTTTGTTCAAATTTTCGCACCATCTCACGAATGGTGTTGACACTGGTCACATTATTTCAACCGAAATCTTGTTGCACCTTCCAAATCGTTGCAACAATATTTGAATAAAACGTTTTAACAATCCGGACACGTTGTGGGATCGTGTAGCACTCTATGATGGATTAGACGCATGTGCTCTAAACAACTACTACGGCGCCACCCACTGAAATGCAGGTCAGTGATTGGCCACCCTGTAATAATATATAAATATAATGCTGTGAACAAAGAGATATTGATAAGATACTTCACATATTATTTATTGTGATTCTGATCAAACATTTGATATCAATTCATTGTTGTATTAAAATGATGAATAAAAAATGTTCATCGCATTACTTTGAACATTGCATTTGTTTCTCTGAAATCAATCTTCTTCACACTAATGCAAAACGAGTGACCTATACCTTACACTGCATCCAAGCGGGCGGAGCCGCCGCGGGTTTAGGCTAGTTTCGCAATACATGAAACTGGTTTCGCAACCTCCGGCGTTTTTGAAAGAATGCGGTAGTTTATGAAGAAAATCTGACATTCTACCTAGATTGTGGTCATTCCGGATAGCTTTCGAAGGTCATACAATATTTTGTAACAAAACACTGCTTTCAGGTTTTTGCATTTGGATCGTCTATCCAGCAGCATCCACTGGATCCGCATTTTCGTCCAAAATATGTTCCATCAGAGATCTGATAAAAACATATTTTTATCATTTTAAATTGCATCACGCACATCGTCCGAACATTCCGAATGTTGTGAACAATGTACTTGCCTTTTCAGATTCATATTGGAAACTAATGAGCATAAGTAAGAGAAACGGGGCCCTTCTTAAGCTATGTCGGGGCTTGGAACTTGCGAGTGAAGGAGCCCCATAGGGCAGAGCGGAATCCAAGGTTCCTATTTTGTTGTTAGGGAGAATTGAACAACGGACGACGGGCTGTTCAGACATTGATTTTTTGGGCATTTGCCAGCGCCCTGATCCTAGGCTCCGGGGCGCCTTAGGGATAAGACGGAATAGAATAGGAATTGTATTGATATTAGCAACAAAAGTGTCATCATAAATTCAAATCCATATTTTATCCTAATTGACGAAACACATCGTGCCGAATCTGGCGAAATAAAATACGTTTTCGTCCGATTTCTAAGGAGCATATTTCGGACAAAAACGCGTCATTTAGACCTGTGGTTCCCAAACTCTTTTTTCTCAAAGACCACTTTAACATTTTTGTGGTTTCGCTGGACCCTTCCCTATTAGACTCCTACCATATTCCAAAAGCTCATTGAGAATTTTCCACAGAGGTAAAAGTAAAAGAGGATTTTCTTACATCATATCCATTAAAATAGCATGACTACAAATAAAATAGCATAATAAATCAGAATGTTAACAGAAGGGACTGACAACAATTTATCAATATTTGGCTCGAATCAGACCAAATCTCCCCGATCTACTTTATTCAATCTGCTCCTTTTTCTTGTTAATAGATTTGTAACAACACTAAAATATTTTTCGGCCATGAGGTAATAACAAATGAAGAAATAATAGCAGATCGAATGAATACCTATTTCATAGAAAGTGTCAACGACATTGTAAAATCAATTATTGACGAGAATCCCAGCCAATATCCCATTAGCTCAGATTATGATGCATCATTCAGTGAGTTTAGAACAATATACATTAATCGTCTCAAGAAGATTATATCAAAAATTAAATCTACTTTATTGAGGCAAATTACATTTTAACCAAATTTCAAGCTGGATTCAGGAAGAAACACTCAACTGAAATGGCAACACAAATGGTTTTAAAGGACTGGAGATATATGGACAATCGGAAACAAACAGTAACAGTGTCTTTGGACTTCAAAAGGGCGTTTGAGACTATTGACAGGGATAAATTACTTTCAAAATTTCATCACTACGGATTTAGAGGATCTGTATTCAAAATTCTACAAAACTATTTAATTGACAGAAGTCAAAAAACCAAAATCGGATCTACATTATCAAGATGAAAAAATATTTCTGTTGGTATACCACAAGCTAGTAAACTAGGTCCACTACTATTTATTTTATACATTAATGATATTTGTAATATTTAAGGTTATTGCAAACTTCAGATATTTGCAGATGATACATTAATATAGGTACATATCAGATGAAAATATAGACACTGCTTTAAAAATGCTAAATTCTGACTTGGCAAAAATCGTAAATTGGTTAAATGTCAATAAACTAAAATTGAATGCTTCTAAAACAAAATGTATGCTAATAGGGAAATACCTAAATGAAAATACTATCACAGTTAGGATAAATAGAGAAATAATTGAAAATGTTGAATCAATTAAATATTTAGGTATGTATATATATATATATATATTGATAGTAAACTAAAGTTTGAGGATCACTAACAATACATTACTTCAAAAATTTCCAAAAAAACAAATTACTTTTATAGGGCTTCGCATAGTCTTGGTATCTATTCCAAGAAAATAGTTTATAATAGAATTATTCTACCGCATTTACTATATTGTTCAACTATCTTGTTCACGGCCAATAAAGCTGCATTCTCAAAATTACAAATCTTGCAAAATAAAACTATGAGAATAATATTGAATAAAAATTAGTACACCAAAAGAAAATCTATGTTACAAGAATTGCAGTGATTGAATATAAAAAATTTCATATCATATTTGGTTCTTATTTTTATATTTAAAATAAAAAAGCATCTTTTTCCAGAGCATTTAGAACACTACATAGAATTGAATAATCATTACCACAATTATTATACCAGAGGAAATATAGATTTTCATTTACAAAATTGCAACAGTAATATAACTAGCAAATCAATATTTCAGAAATGATTTCTTGAATGTAATAATGATATAAAGTCAACTTGTAATTTACAGATATTTAAAAGAAAATTAAAGGAATATTTCATGGACAATGAAAATTCTTAGAGATGCAAATTTTGTTTTTTTTTCTGAATGTTTTTTACAAGAATGTAATTGTAGCAATCATGCTAAATAAATCTTAAACAAATACACAAACAAATAGGTACGCGGAGGAAAACGCTATCTAAAATGTTCTTACAACTTTCCAGAGGCCAGAACATTTTTCGGGTACTTATGCCTGCCGCCAAAATAGTTGATAGCCTTTTTAAAATTTCACCTTCAGCTCCGCATTAGTACTAGATTGACTAGTCCATCTTGTAATATCGCAATTGCCACTTCCATTTCATCAAATGCACTTGCACCGAATATCGAATATTCAACTATTTATGTAAGAGTTAAAAATTCATCTGACAAAATTTTTGTTCCCTACTATCGAAACGACGTAAATTTTCCTGAACTCACACTTACAACTTGGAAACTACCAGTTTTTTACGCCAACGTAATCTTCCGTGGACCCCTGGGGCTTTTGGTAATTACTGTACTAGACTAAACAGAGCGAATTTTTAGAAATAATTATAAGAATATGGATATTAAAAAGAATTAATTTACCTGTCTCCATGACAAAGCTCCTGCCTATTTCTTCCATCAAATGACACCCAGGCAGTGTTTCTACTTCCTGGAGATACTGTTATCTAAGAGAAAATGAAAAAATAAATGTAATCTTTAAAGAGTACAAAGTTATCCATGCAACAAAATGAAAAAGTTATACACATGGTGTCCCATGTAGAACTGCAGCGATCGATTACTCGAAAAGTTAACGTTAGACAGTTTTGAAAACTGAGGAAATTGGATAAATATTTTCAAAATGGCGGCACTTCCGATTATACCGAACGCTGCTGATCTTGAATGGAACACCCTGCATATAATCCGATTTTTAAGATCTTCGCAAGATTCTAGATACATCTATTTATGTACATGTATGACATCCTGTACCTAACTCTAACCGTTTTTGAGAAATATCACATTTTGTATAAAAGATGCAGCTGAAAGCTTATTAATTTTTCGTATATTTTTGTCTTTGTCGAACGATTTGTAACTGGTTCCTAGAAGAGAGTTTACTCTAGCAGACTTTCTTCGAAGTTTTAATAATTAGTAGTAGTAGTAGAAAGATTTATTTAGCACATTTGGCTACATAAACAGAATAATTGTAAACAATTTAGAATTAGTAAATTCAAGCCATATGATGTATGATGTAAATGCTGGGCAAGCTATAATTGTAGATTTGACAAGCGACTCCTCAATTTTACTTTAACTTTTGTCAACGTTTGCTGGTCTTTTATCTCTGTGTATAATTTATTATATTCAATCAACCCTTGATGGAATACAGATTTGTAGCATATGTTATACTTTTTGGTCATTAAATGGAAGTCATCTTTATTTTTGGTATTACGTAAATGATAGTGGGCATTTGATGTTGTTAAATTAGTTAGACTTGATGGAAATATCTTATTTTTTACTTTATAAATGAATATCATTACAAGATATTTGATAAAATGTTTTACATTGAGCCATTTTAATTTGCGAAGCATTTGTCTAATTGGAGTATATTTATCTCTATTCAGTATTATTCTCATGCGCTTGTTTTATAAAATTTGCGGTCTTTCAAAAGTGGAATTATTTGCTAAATATAGAATAGTCGAACAGTACAAGAAATTTGGAAGAATGATGGTATTATAGATAATTTTTCTGCTATATGAACTGAGACATCCAGAAACTCTCGATAAATATCCCACTTTACTACTAATCTTAATAACTTTTTCGTAATGAATATCAAAAATTAATCGAGAGTCAACAAAAACCCCCAGGTATTCAAAATTTTCTACGAATTCAATATCTTCACCATCAATATTAAGTTGAACATTTGTACATTGTTTTTTTCCGATTATCATAGCTTGTATTTAATTTGAATCTGTTAGATGCTAACCATTTTGAGTCAAGTTTCAAGTCTTTATTTATATACGAGATACCAGTCTGAATATTTTTAGTACTTGTATAAAATATGTATATTATGTTTCTCTATTTTTGCTCGCACATGTTACATTAAGTTATAATAAAACATAAGTGTTTAGTTTACTTCAATAGTTTAATAAAATCTTTAAAAAAATAAAATGTTTCTCAACTTTTGCTCGGTACTGTATATGTCCACCCTTCACAATGGAAGAAATCCTGAACACTAACCTTAAGTTCCACTCCAGCAGGTACGACGATCGGCCTAAAACTCAACGAATGTGGACAAATGGGAGTGACCATGATTGCGGGAACGCTTGGATGAATCATTGAAGCACCTGCAGCAACAGCGTATGCAGTACTTCCGGTCGGGGTACTGACGATCAACCCATCCCCTTGAACCGACGTTATATACTTGCCGTCCAGGAACAGATCTGCAAACAGATTCCAACAGATTACATCTCACATCATCAAAAATGGAAACTGCTGTACCTCGCATACATTTTAGTCAAATTTCAGAATCCGTTAGAATAACTCAAATTATATAGCAAGCAGCCGTTTTTATTTATGTTGACTTTCGAACTAATCCTAGAAGTAATCGACATACCTCGTCAAAGTACTTTGCTTCATTCAAACACTAACCTAAGTCCGCGTGGAAGTAATGTAAAGTATAATAATAATAATATAAGTTTATTCACGTATAAAGTATTACAGTTTATTGAAAATAAATATGCATATATAAACATTTTTCATAACAACTTTTGGTTAAAACAGTTAAATACAGCTAATACATAAATTTAAACACAACATAACCATAAAGGTAAGTGTAATAATATTATATTGAAATACTAATTTATTTTCATTTTAGTGAGTTTTTCTATTTCATGTCGATTATTATTCAACAAGAATCTTTTTATTTCAAATTTGAATCTATTTTTATTTGAAATGGATTTTATATGGCATGGTAAAGAGTTATAAAATCTAATGGAGAGGTAACTGAAGCATCTTTGACCTACCTTTTTTGTTGTAAATGGTGTTCTTTTAATATCCTCGACTTTACTTCTTGTTTCATATTTGTGCTCCAATGAAATGAGGTTTGTTTTATTTTTTAATAAATTGATCAATACATTGTAAAAAAACAGTTGTCTAAGATCGAGTAGTGTCACTTCGGAATATAACATATCAGCGGATATAGAACCTTTAAAAATAATTTTCAAAAATCGTTTTTGGATTATTTCTAGCTTCTTAATTTGGCTGGTGAGAGCACCACCCCAAGCTAGTATGGCATAATTTAGGCCACATTCAATAAGTCCATGATATAACATCTTCATTGTTTCATGGTCTAGATATTTAGTGAGGTACTTGAATTTAAATAATAATCGTCTTAAATTAGTTACTATATGATCAGCATGGAAATTGCACTTTAAATGAGGATCCAGATGAACACCTAAATATTTTGTTTTATCAGCTGAATGTATTAATGTACTTGCATTGTCACATTTAATTTGTAAAGAGGTAAATGACGGTAATTTATGTTTAAGGTTTGTGAACGGCATATACTTGGTTTTCTGAAAATTGATTGTTAGATATTTGTGTCTAAACCAATCTGAAATTAAAATAATGTCATTTTCAACAGTCTCTTTAAGATTATCCCAGGAATTGTTATTAGAAAAAGTATCGCTGTGTCATCTGCAAAGCATATTATTGTGCCTTGCGACTTTAAGCTAAGTAGGCTATTGTTATACACAGTAAAAAATAACGGGCCTAAAACTGTCCCTTGTGGTACACCATAAGTCACAGTTTTTTCTGAAATTATGGAATCATTTATTTGAACATATTGCTTTCTGTAAAACAGTTAACTTCTCATAAGGTTTTGAGCGTTTCCTCTAATTCCTGCATCGTATAAGTTTCTAATAGTAGCGAGTGATCCACCGTATCGAACGCTTTTGCTAGGTCTAGGAATATGCATAATGTATATTTACTTTGTTCTAGTAATTTATGAATTTTTGAAGTCAACAAGGAAACGCGTCTTGAGTAGATTTATTTTTTTGATATCCAGATTGATTTTCATGTATAAGCTTATTTTTGTTGAAAAAACTAATGAGCTTATGATTTTTTCAACTATCTTTGCCAAATTAGATATTAATGTCATTGGTCTATAGTTGCTGGTATTAGATATGTCGCCAGATTTATGAATCGGTGTTATTATTCCTATTTTGTAAGGGTCTGGAAAAACCTCAGATTCAATTATCAAATTTGTTAAAAATGTTAGTGGCTTTCTAATTTCAGGTGCAATTTTTTTTAGTACCTCTGATCGTATGCCATCTAAACCTGGACTCTTTTGATTTTTTAGGCTGTAAATGGTATATTCTGTTTCATTTTCTGTAACTGGTTCAAAAAAGATTGAATTTTGTATGATTACTTTACATGGAATATTGGTGTTAGGTTTATTTATTTTAGTTGCCATTTTCTGTCCCACTTCAACAAAATAGTTATTGAATACGTCAGCAATATCTGTATCTGCAGTTATTACAGTATTATTAGTTTTGATTTGTTCAACACTTGTTATTGGTTTGTTTGAGTTACAGATTTGGTTGATGTATTCCATACCATTTTAGAATCGGATTTACTTTTTTGTAGTATCTCCGTATAATATTTTTGTTTTGTAGCAGTTATTAAATTGGAAAGTTTATTTTTTGTCATTCGTTTTGCATTAGTGTGAAGAAGATGTTTTTGGAGAAAGAAATGCAATATTCAAGGTAATGCAATACTTACTTCGGCAACGGATATTTTTATTCAGCATTTTAATGCAATAAATTAGTATCAAATGTGTAATCAGAATCATAACAAATAATACGCGAAGTATACCACAGCCTGTATGGCATATCCTAATATATCCTAACCCAATAACTATTTAATCACCATATGAAGTAAAACAAAACATCAAACAAATCTAGACGATCAGCAAAAACTAAATATTTGGTATTAGTCAAAAAGATCTAGACAAAATGGAAAGTGAAAATGGAAACTGAATGTTCAAAATTGTAAACAGTTTAAGTCCTTATTTATTTGGAGTAGTGGCTGATTCAAAATTGAGTTTTAACTGCATTTCGAGAAACTTCAAGGTAGGAAACCTTAAGGAAGTGTGGTGCACAGAGTTTTGACATTCTAAAAAGTTGATTTACAACATTATAATCAAAATGTCTAAATGAACTTATAAACTTAAATTGCATGTATCATCCATAGGAAATTAGAGGGAAATTTAATTTTGATTTGAATTTTAATAATTACCTCAAAAATTAAAAACAAGTTTTCCATAAAGCTATACAAGAATTTAACCATTTGCCTAATACACTTGTTTTTTAAATATGTATGAAATCGGTGTATGACGTAGATTTTCACATGAATTTAATTTATACAGACAGACAAAATTCGTTTGTATATGCAAAATGCATGTATGAAATATGTTTCTTTGAAGACATGCGAGCGAAATTAATCCAACATACTAGTACTAATTAAAGTCAGACTATCTTCCGTCGTATCTTACTTTGCTGAACTTGTGTCAAGAACTCATAACACTGGCTAGAAGATTTAACTAAATTCTGGACTAACTGACACCATGTAGCACTCTGCAAAATTAATAATTCATGCACTCCTACACATAAAGACAACAGAGAAATCTACTGACAATATACGCTCATAGGTATTCGACATGGTGTATTTTGTTATAAAATTTAATATCTGATAGTGATGCACAATATATTTAAAAAGCTAGCTTACAAATTCTGTATTTAAGATTTATTCATTTTGTTATTAACCACGACTAATTTAGTCATTGTTCGTACATATACCAGAAAAATATTCCATTAATGACCAATGCCATTAATACCTATTGAATAGTCATCAAAAACTCATCATCTCCAATAAGGCTGTTAAGAAAAATAGGTACTATGTACTATTCCATAGTAATTACGTTGTATTTGAAATATTTTCCTTCAACAACCAAAAAACATTAATATCAGTACAGTATCAGTAGTTATTGTATTGTCGACACAACGCAGTCTTTTCAAGTTTCCATCGTTTTTAAGAAGTTGATGGTAAAAGCAAAAATGATCATAGCTTTACAGGCAGTTGAAAAGAGCAGATGAAAAATTTGGTGTCGAGAGGATAAGAAACCCCAACTGTTGTAATCCATACCACTTAACAATTTACACCATGTTATATTTAATAAAATAAAAGAGGAAAACCCTATACCAAAAGAGTAAAGACAAAATGGACGACACCCTGTTAGGAAAGTCAAGAACTGAAGGTACACTAGTACAAATAGTAGGCGATTTGTTTCAGCAGTTTGGGCGAAATTCAGTATAAGGTTGTTAGTTGTAGTATTCCTCAACTTGAATATGATTTTGAGTATTCAATGATAGACATAAATGTCCATATTCTTTTGACGATTGGCTGTTTTTATAAGTCCTCAAGTTCTGATCCTGATTTATTCATTTACAACTTTGATAATAAATTGCAAAGGCATTTGAAGAGCAATAGGATGGTTGTTTGTGGGGACTTCAACATGAACTTTGACCCACTAAATACGCATTTATCAGCAAGGAAACTTGTTGCAATTATGAAATCGTTCAATATGGAACAACATTTTCTTCAATATACCGGCCACCTTCTCCAAAATAGTTAACTGTAACTTATCAGACCATAATATGCAGATTATAGGTTTTACTTTAGGAAGAGGTAGCTCTCAAACACAGAGTTTTATCACTGCAAACGCCATTTCGGTAAACCTCAAGATATTGAAATGTTCAAAATGCTTTTTCAAGAAACAGACTCGTATTTTTTGTCTGATGAAGGGATTGACTTTGATTCAAAGTTCAATATGTTCCATGCAAATCTTTGATAGATGCTTTCCTGTAATGTTAGTCAAAAGTAAGCATTAAGCTCCTCAAAATTATTAGAATAGCTGAATTGACGAAAGCAAGTTTTCAAGATTTTGCTATAAAAATAAATAATGATACCAAGTTGACTGCACGCAATAAACTACTGATGAAAGAAAATTATTGGAAACTAAACGAGATTACTATGATAATTAAAATTGCTAAATCTAGTAATAAGAGTAAGACTGCTTGGCAAATCATCAGTGCAAATTCAAAAAATACAAAAAGACAAGTCCCTGGGATTATTTCTGATAAAGATGGAAATGTTTTCTCTACATCATCCAAGGAAGCAGCTGACGCTTTTAATAATTACTTTATAAATTCTGTATCTGAACTAACTAAATCTATGACTTTCAGCGGGCAGCATGTACCAACTCCCATCAACCCCAATTCCATGTTTTTGAACCCAGTCACTGAAGAAGAAGCCGTTGAGCTGTTAAGACTTGCCGCAAAAAATAAATCAGTAGGTTCTGATGAAGTACCTTGCTCATTCCTATTAAATATGATAGACTTAGTTGTAAAACCTCTGAGAGCACTGATAAATCTGTCTTTTGCAGAAGGCATATTTCCTTATAAGCTGAAAGAATCACTCCATAAAAAAGATGATATCAACTACATGGCTAATTATAGGGGCATTTCTTTGTTATCCGTATTCGCAAAATTCTTTGAAAATGCTTATTATAATAAACTGATAAAATTTGCTGACAAATTCAATATCATCAACAGGCACCAATTTGGATTTCACAAAAACCTATCTACAAAACATGCAGTATTGTCTTTGAGTGACTTTGTCTTAACCTGCCTTGAAAAGAAATAAAAAACGTGTTGTCTCTTCATAGATTTAATCCGTGCTTTCGACACTGTCAACCATGCCCTTTTATTCGAAAAGCTTAATAACTACGGAGTCGGAGGAACCGCTTTAAATTGGATAGAAAGTTATCTATCCGACAGGGAACAAAGAGTTGTCATCAATAATGGAAGACGCAAATTATCTTCTAGCACCGAGGTTGATTTAACTGGTGTTCCGCAAGGAAGCATACTAGGGCCTCTATTGTTCTTGTTGTTTGTCAACGATGCGCCCATTTTCATGGAACAACATTTTGTTACATTATTTGCTGACGATACCAGTTAAAACTAAAGATCCAACTCAGCTCAGTACTGAGTTGTCAGTTGCATTATATCACATGGAGAGGTACTGTGTAAAGAATGGCCTAGTACTTAATGAACAGAAGACGCAACTGATGCAGTTTGGTTTGCGAGACGCAGATTATGATATTGACCTGAAAATTAACGGAAACAGGGTGAACGAGGTTCAGGTCACTAAATTTTCTGGTATTATGATCGATTCAAGGCTTACTTGGAGGGATCATTGTTTAGTCAACAAAATATCACAGCATTGCTTTGTGTTATGAAGATTAAGGCAGTTTGTAAGTACTGAAGTGCTTAGGATGTACTATTTTGCTCACGTACAGATGCTCAAAAACCAACCAAATAATGTTGGATGATGTCCGCGAAAGCCTTTCGCATTTCACAGTATAAATAGTTTTTTTTTCTTTAGTTTCTATCGAGCAATTTCTGAACTAACAATGTATTTCCATGATAGTCATTCGTGCAAGTCAAACGCACGTCACTAAAAGCAATGAACTGAAAAATCACGTATGTAGTTGGACTATGAACAAGATGAATGAAGCAAGTTATTGGTAGAAACATCGATCATTAGCCACGTTTTCTAGAGCAGACGAATTATATGGAAAAATTCATTATCATTTTTATTACATTGCTGAAATAGCATATCATCCTACGTTAATATGCATGAGTATGTTTTCATACCACTTGTTGGTATGACACGTTATTAAAAGTTCTGGACATTTGCATTGAATGATATCGATTGAAGCCACGACCGGAAAATTATCCATATGCATATGATTTTTATTACTAGACATACAAACATCACAGTTAGGTGAAGGACCTTCTGTCACATCACCTTCCGTCTTTGCTGGTGAAGTCAAGAGTTTAAACTAATTGACGGCTAATTAAAAGGAACTACATTGTTTTCCACGATATATGAATAGGTCAAAACAAAAAAATAACAAGAGGCTTAGTGGCATCCAAAATTCATATCTTCTTGCAACGCTTTATGTGAGTTCTATGCACAGATTTGTTAAAAAAGTTTTTTCCTGCTAATGATCATCACTATAGTTCAAGTCAGCTGAGAATTAAATAGATGTTGATCTATATTTGGTATAAATATATAAATAATAATAATAATCTTAAAAATTGACGGTCAACAACACAAAAAATGTATGAAGTATCGAATTTCGCAGTTTTTTTATTTTATTTCACAAATGTTAAAGTAAACAGCCATGCTTCAAAACTTTTGCACCTAGTGTACCTGGATGACGATCCTTTTAAAAGCTTTAAAAGATGAAGTGGTATTGATATTTACTGAATTTTGTGAAATACAAAAATTATAAATCAATGCATACCAACCTATATTTGATAAATAAGGTGAAGGACCCCTATCAACAACTACTTCGTTCAAAACCAGAAGATTCGTTGGCACTTTGGGTACATTTGGTTTATCACTAGAAGTATTCTGGTCCATTTTCTTCATAACAATACAACGCAAACGGCTCCGTAACGTCAACGCTGCATGTCCTGCAAAGAAAAAATCGTGTTAATAGATATTTATGTAGCAAGGGCATAAGGTGAGCATTTTATCTATGACCGATTAAACGTTGGGTGAAAAATTCAAAGTAGTCTCTAGGTGCACTTAAAAATAAATAAATTGACCGTATTGCCGGCAGTGCAGCCATTGACTAGCAAGAAATAAACATAAATATTACGAATAGCTCACGTAGTCGATAACGATAGGTCAATTTGAAGCTAGCTGGTGCAAGCTACTTTGCGACCTTGATAAGGACTCTTGGCCGCCCTGTTGTAGATAGAAACAATAAAAACCCTTCAAATGAATACTTTTTCGATATGCTGTAAACAAATTAAAACGAACATATCTATTACGCATGTACAGAATACGGGAATAGCATCATCACCACAACCTTGCACTTTTGGATACACTTGAATGTCATAAATAATATCAGTGATCATGACATTATTCTATAGAATGAATTGATTCATATTTCAACTAGCTGTAATATGTTTGTAATTTTGTAGTTAATATTGTTTTTTACAGATGCAAATTCAAGGCTGTTTTTTATTCGTTTAAGGAATAAAAATAATGTGTTATCATGAGGCTATTTCTGCGTTTGGATTTCAGATAAGAGATATCCAGTTTTTTCAGATTACACCAAATCGCTTACTCAATAATATACATCCAGTAATAATTGACTCATGTATTTTTCATTATTAGATGTATAGTCTGTAAGAATCAAAAGTTCGTCAATTGTATAGAATAGAAAGGATTTATTTAGCTCTAAGCTACTTTAAACAATAATAAATATTATTTACAAAATATGTTAAATTTACAAAGAGGTCGTCACATCAAACCAAAATAGTCTCTCCGAAAATTTTAGCATTATTAGATGTTTTTACATTAATAGGCAAATTGTTGTACATTTTTAGAGGTTCAACAAACATTGACTTTTCTAAACCTTTAAATCTAAATCTTTGTATATGTAAATTTTCTTTTGATCTAATGTCGTAACCTTGCAGTTCACATCTTTTTTTTAGAAACTGTTCAAGATAAGCCTGATTATTGATAATTTTATATAAAGGAATTAAATTTGCCTCTTGAATAATTTGGTGTATGTTTAAAAAAGTTAATGCCTTTAGCATATCCTGTATATGGGTATACCTGCTGCAATTTAACAAAATCCGCATACATTTATTTAATAGAATTTACACCCTTTGCTTTAATAAGTAAGATGAGAAAAAATTATTGTATTGTAGACTACCCTTCTGCACCAGGGACTTAATTCTCACAAATTCTACGAAAATCCCCGATCTTTTTGCAAATTTTGAAGGAAATCCTCCAGATGGTATTTATAATAATTTGAAGTAAATGCTTTTGCTTTTTGAGTATAAGCATATCCTTCAAAGCAGTGACATAAGTAAAAGGATATTCATAATTTTCACCTTATACTTGGCATAGGAAGCATATCGTTCAAACATTCTGAGTGTGGTCAGTAGTAGACTCAACTTCGTAACGAAATGTGGTAAAACGATGATGGCGTTTACCTTCACTTGGTCGTGACTTCAAAAAATTATATCGGTTCGACGAAGCAAATGTACAATGACTTGCGGACAGATTTTTAGTTAGAATGAGGAAACTCGAGCAGGAGCACTTTCATGTATTCATAAAATGAAGATATGTCTATGCTATCTCGGTGACCCTGGATATCAACAAGATATTGGTCAGGAACTTGGTGTTAGTCAAGCAATGGTATGTCGGACTATGGATAGAGTTGTGAACAGCATAGTTGCACAGTCGAACGAATGGATCAAGTTTCCAACTACCAACCATGAACTGATGGAGGTCAAGAGGATATGGTACTGCCTTGAGGTAGTCCATGATCAACAGAAACATTACTTGATATTTTACTTTCAATTTTTACCACTTGTAACCGCTCAGATAAATAATCACCCACCCACAAGAGGGCTGTTCCCTTGATTCCATACATTTCACATTTTCTCAACAACAATTTCCTGTCAATAGTTTCAAACGCTATTTTTAGGTTAACAGACACACACCCAATCACTTTACCATGATCTACATCTTTTTTCCACTTTGTACATACAAATTGGCATGCAGTTTCACAAGAATTATTTCTTCTGAACCCGGATTACCTCTCAAAAAGAACATCGTTCACACGTAGATGCTCACTCAGCTCTTCATGCACTGTTATTGCTTCCTTATTACTTTAAGGTATGGTGCTTACTATATCAGTAACACTCTTGATAAAATAATTTTTCAATTTACTCTCTACAGTGTCACAGCCATTAATTTCTAAAGACGTATAATCAATGTGTACATGTTTGTTATTAACGAGATCTTTCAAGGTTCTCCACATTTGTTTGCTGTCTCCTTTGCATCTGTCAATCTTTTCTTCATAATACTGCTTTTGTTTTGATATTATAAGAGCAACAACTTTGTTTCGTTTTTCTTTATATTTTTCGAAGTCATCCCTCAGGTTGGTAAATTTGAAAATATAGTATTGTACATATCTTTCCCTTTGTGCTCTTTTGACCTCTCCGTCAATCCATGACTTGTAATTAGTACTTTGTTGTTCTAAAGGTGCAATTTCTTTAATACTTTTATTCACATTGGCAATAAAACAATTATATAGGGAATCGACATCTCGAGATCCATACTTCCAGTTACATTCAATGAGCTTCATCTTGATTTTATCGATATTGTCACAATTGTAGTCTACCAAACACGGTTATAAATAGCTTTAAAATAAACTAATTTTAAAATTCTCTTTGGGATCTTGTGTTTTTTCAACAAATATTTCTCGTTACTGAGCTAGCTTGTTTCTCAAAACAGTTAAGCCAGTATTAGTGATATAAAAGTATAAGAAAGCCAAACCTTCCCTACATAAAAAATATCAAGCAATGTATCGATCGCATTACAAATAAATAATAGTTTCAAAAAACTAAAAAAAAACACGCTTTTATAGCTAACCGAACTAAACAGTAGAAAATAATTTTTAATTACAAAAAGTTTGTATTACAGTAGTAGATGGTCAAACATAAAATTATAATAAAATTTATGTTATTAATAGAATAATTCAGTTCAGAGTAAAATGAGTGGGATGCTTGATATATTAAATGTTAAGAGAGGAGAGTTATGAAAATATAGTAAAATGCACCCCACGCTTTTTACTCTGTCACTCCATTACTAATCCTTCCACGATTAAAAATGAGGCAAATACCAATTCTCAAATTTATCAAAATCGTTCCAATGGTTACCGAGGTTAGAAGCGCCAAATGACAAGGACATGAAGATCGACGAAAACCAATAAAGACAACAGAAAATGGCTTATACGAGGGATGTCTTTTAAGTTTTGCATATAGAAACATAGTAGGCCGCGCGGATCGAACGTCAGTACTGAATCTTAACCTCACTCTTTAGTAAACTTAAATTCAACGTTTCACAACAATACGTGCAGTGTTCTCACTACAGTGAATTTTTTAGTGTCACCAAGTCATTAGAAAAATGGAACTCAACCGAGAACATTTTCGCGCCATAATTTATTACAACTTTAATAGACAATTATTGCAACAAGAATGCCTTGCTGAGTTACTGTCTGTTTTCGGCAACGAAGCGTCACATCAGTCGACAATTTCCCGTTGGTATGGAGAATTCAAACGTGGACGGGTGAGTCTTAGCAGACTGCGTGGTCAAAGGTTCCAGTCACCAGAAGAAGCAGTTGACGCATTCAAAAATGCCGTTTTGGATCTGCCAGCAAACGAGTGGAATAAGTGCTTCGAAAATTGGTTCGAGCGCACGCAGATGTGTTTTAATCTTCGTGGAGAATACTTCGAAAAACAATAAAGTTATTTAAAACTACCAACCGTGTTGTTTTATTTCCATATGCAAAACTTAAAAGACATCCCTCGTATACGTGTAACTTACCTTCAAGCACATTATTAACCTGCTCCTGGAAATTATCGAACCTAAACGGCGTGAGGAACCCCAACGATCCCAAATGGAATGCCATGACCGGTGGTACCGATTGCTGGAACAACTGACTGGCGTACAGCAAAGTTCCATCTCCACCTAGACAGATGATGAAGTCGATCTTGTCAGTGAGATCGTCTTTGCTGTCTCGGAATGTCATCAGCTTGTCTTTGATTTGAGCGAACGGCTTGAAGTGGTCCAGACTGTGGTCCTCCATCACCGCTCCTTCGATGAACACCACCATACGCTTTTCCTGAAACGGAAACATTGATGTCAACGAGATCGACCCTATACTACTCCACATGCATTTCCGCGTTAAATTTTATTTCTTGGGAACATCAGTGCTTTTCCTGAAGGTATGTCTGAGTGTATTCACTCAACAACTGGCAAAGCTTGCCTTTCAAAGCTCAAACATCGTGCGCCAAGGCATCATAAGTACTAGCTTGACGTAAAGAAGTACCCGACCTGACCTAGAGATGGCGATAGTTGTTTGAAAAATATCATTGTATCAGAAAGTATGCAACCTATAAAGCATATTTGTCAAGTTTGAAGAAGTTGTTTAGTATTTGGCAGTCAACGTTTTCAGTGAATTTGTGAAAATGGCGAAAATTGGTCATCGTTATGTGGTACAATAATTTATTTCAACGGCCTCAGCCCAACCAATATAAAAGCTGAACTGGATTCTACTCTGGGTAAGTCTGCTCCTTCGTTTACAAGAGTAAAATATTGGGTAGCAGAGTTTAAACGAGGCCGTATGAGCTGCCAAGACGAGCATCGCAGTGGTCGACCAAATGAGGTGGCGACTCCAGAAATGGTGAAGAAAATTCACAAAGCTGGACTGAATGATCGTCGACTGAAAGTGCGCGAGCTATCAAACATAGTAGCCATCTTAAAAGGTGCGGTTCATCGCATATTATCTGAAAATTTGGACATGAGAAAGCTGTGTGCAAGATGGGTGCCGCGATTGCTCACAATCGAGCGAAAACAGTGTCGTGAAGATGATTCAATTGAGTGTTTAGCGAAGTTTCACAGCAACAAAGCAGAATTTTTGTATCGTTTCATAACCATGGATGAAACATGGGTCCATCACTTCACACCAGAGACAAAAAAACAATCAAAACAATGGACTCAAAAGGGACAACCAGCTCCAAAGAAGGCAGGACCGTTTCATCTGCATTCTGGGTTATGGCGTCGGTTTTTTTGAATGCGCGTAGGATAATTTTCATTGACTATCTTGAAAAAGGTAAAACTATCAACGGCGAGTATTGCAACGTTTGAGCGATGAAATCAAGCAAAAACAGCCGCATTTGGTAAAGAAGAAAGTGTTGTTTCATCACGACAATGCACCGGCTCACAAATCCGTTATTGCAATGGCCAAAATTAACGAATTAAAGTTTGAATTGCTACCTCATGCACCCTATTCACCTGATTTAGCCCCCTCGGATTATTTTCTGTTTTCAAACTTGAAAAAATGGCTCAGTGGTCAAAGATTTTCCAACGATGTCGGCAGTTAATGGCTATTTTGAAGAGCAAGACAGTTCTTATTATAAAAAGGATATCGAACTTATTGAACATCGCTGGGAAAAGTATATAGAGCTCACAGGAGATTATGTTGAAAAATAAATACATTTTTTTACAAAAATTTTGTGTTTTCTTCTTTGGGTCGGGTACTTCTCGTAAGCTCGATCACATATAAGAAAAATAAGCTTAATTATCTGACGTTGATAGGCAGTTAAACAAACATTATGTGATAATGACTACTACAGAATTTTACCAGTCGCCAACCAGTTTTTTAGATACCAGACACGTAATTCGTTAACTTTGTAAGCATCTCTTCAGGGAAATATTAAAGATGTATCATATACAGTGCTTTTCTTTAATGTCCCCTCCCTTTTGATTTTCTGAACGGATCAATTCAAAAAATTAAAACTTGAGGTAATGAAATTGATGCGTGGATGCCATATTTTAGAGCAAAATTGACAGATCAAAATGTCAAGATGGCCGCTGGGCGCCATCTTGGAAAAAAGATTATATGAAAACAGGGGTCTTTTGGCACATCATTTTGAAGCTCCTGACGAGTACTTTATAACCCTAGAATATAAAGTTAATACATTTACCTACTTCAAAATGGTGGTACATTTAATGATTACTTGAAAACAAACCCACTAACATGCATCTCTCTAGGAACAATTGTCATTCCCTGCTGTATCCACTTCAACACCGATAAAAACTTGTTTTGTTATTTTTTGTTGACAGTGACAAGAACTGTTACTGAATATCAGTACGAAAATAAACATCATTGTACAGTTAAAATATTCTTATTAAGCTTTCGGTTTCAGTGCTAGATACTGTTTGAACTATTTTTAAAATGGTCAATTCTCCTCCATTGGAAGAAAAAATCGAAGCGATTTTTATTTATGGTGCGTCGCGTAACTTTCACGAGACCGAAAGGATTTTTAATGATCATTTCCCGAATCGTCCTATCTGTAGAAAATATTTAAGGGAACTTGTATCTAAATTTACAGCTACTGGTAGTGTAAACAACAAAAAGCCCTAAGGTCATCCGACCATCCCGGAAGAAAATCAAGTTCAAATAATTGGTGAGATCATAGTAAATCCTCAACAGTCTACTGCCTCCATCGCGAATGTATGTGAGGTTTGTCCTTCTACTGTATGGAGACTTTTGAGAAAGAATAAGTATCACCCATACAAAATTCAAATGGTACATCAGCTAACTGAAGATGACCCTGATCGAAGAACATAATTCTGCGAGAATATAACGGAAACCATTGCACGGCATCCTACCTATATCCAAAATATTTGTTTTAGTGATGAATGAACATGTTTTCTCTACAGCAATGTGCATAGACAGAACTGTCGTTATCGGAGTGACACCAATCCTCACGTCTTCCGGGAAACTCATACTCAATATCCACAAAAAAATTGACGTTTGGGCTGGGATATTGGGAAATCATCTATGCATCGAACAAACTTTAACCGGCGTTGGATTGGCCGTCGAGGTCCTGTAGAATGGCCAGCTCGCTCGCCAGATTTGAGACCTTTAGACTTTTTTATGGGGCTGTTTGAAGCAAAAGGTGTACGAAACTGAACCTGCTTCAATATTGGATATACGGCTGAAAATAACAAATATTTGTAGAAATAGCGATGTTACGATGTTTGAAAATGTTCGACACGAAATTACGGACCGGCTGTTATTGTGTCAAGGAGTTCAAGGCAGCTATTTCCAGCATCTTCTAAACTGAACTCAACGTATTTATTCGAATTATCAAGTTAAATGTCAATGTATTCTGGTAATTATTAAATGTACCACCATTTTGTACTAGGTACAGGTATTGACTTTATATTCTAGGGTTATAAAGTACTTGTCAGGAACTTCAAAATGATGTGCCACAAGACCCCCGTTTTAATATAATTTTTTCCAAGATGGCGCCCAGCGGCCATTTTGACATTTTCGTCTGTCAAATTACTCTAAAATATGGTATCCACGCATCTATTTCATTACCTCAAGTTTTAATTTTTTGAATTGATCCGTTCTAAAAATCAAAGGGGAGGGGGACATTAAAGAAAAGCACTGTATGTTATATGGACACATTCTATCAGTACCCGAAAAAAAATGCTATCGTCTGTTCTCTACGGCGGTAAATACGGAAAAGTTAAAGGTTCTTTTCCAATGTACGGATTTCAAATACGGATTTTTCAGCACACACACACGGTCGAAAAAGTAGTCTAAGCCGAATACTAATGATATCCGCATTTTAACTCAAATCACGCAATAAGTACAAAGAAATGTTTATTTGACAGAGCCAACCAGAAATCATCAAATCGGTCAACATCGAGAGAGAAAAACTTTCCATAGAAAGCATACTTTATACAGGAACGGTTATCATCAAAACATTTGTTATATCTCAAATTCTAAAACTTACCTTTCCACCTAATACACCCAATATTACTAGCTACCAACCACAACAAGAACACTCTGTATACCATACGTAAGAGACTTATCCAAAAGACTTAGAAGTGTTTGCAAAAAAATTAATCTCAGAACTGTCTCCAGAACAACCAACACACAAAGATCCCTGTCTCACACTAAACCTACTATTGAATTATAGACACAAAAAATTCAATATATAAAATAGACTGCATTTCAGATCCATAACAATGCTCAACAGTGTCGGGTAAGCGTTTATGTTTTCGGAGGACTCTTGGCGTTTTCAGGACGATGGACAAGGGTGACGAGTTTGGTACATTAAAAAACGACAGATAACCTCATGCTCGCTTGTCGGCGTTCCTGGGCTTTGGTGGTTTTGCGCGGTGCCATCTTAAAATGGCAATCTCAGCATGTTAAAGGACCGATCAGACTATTATGTGAAAAAGGAACAAAAAACAACGAACTGTCACCTGGAAGAGAGATAAACAGGGGCGGATCCAGAAAATATTTTGGGAAAGGGTCGATCTAAAGAATTTGAATTTATTGGGGGGGTGGGGGTTCAAGATTTATGTCTAGGAAGATGCTCGTCTTGGAGGGGACGCCGTATCGGCGATTCAACATGAAAGAGCGAGAGGCATAGGCGATAGAGATTTGAAGAGCGGGGGGCAGGTCTTGTCTGCAAATTGAATGGATGAATTGAAAAAGACGTCGAATATTAATTTTTTTTATCTGGGATATTTGGACACCGTGTTGTTATTAGAATTGACATTTGTATTTAGAAAAGGAAACCGTGGGAGCGGAAACATATACTGTATTCCCACATCCAAAAAGGGATATGTGAGACAGTAGCAGAACACAAAAATGAGAAATGAGAAATTTTTCTCTTGGCTATGGATGTTGTGATTGTCCGTAGGTGGTAGACGGTCTTCGACTGTCGAACGCAGAGGTATCACCCGGCGGACCTCGTAGGCGAGGCCAGAATGTGTGCATGTTGCATGCATACGTGTTCCCTCTCCAGAATCAGTGTGACGTACCGCCTTTCCCCTGTAACCTCCTATAGCCCCGGTACCCCATGGGTGTTTAGGCCTTATTTTGAGTATATAAAAAAATGGTATCTTGGTGGAATATGCTATGTTAAACAATGTCTGAAGGCAATATACAGGGTGGCGCATCGAAAACGAAACAGACGCATTTACTGGCAGCTCAGTTTTTTTTGGAAAGACGCTCAGACCCGTCGATTTTGTTTTTGAGGGGGGCAGAAGCTTGGCAAAAAATCACGTTAGCACGTGTAGCCCCCTAAGCGG